TTTTTTTAAGCTGAGCCATCCTGCCACCTGTTGGCAGCTCAGCGGCTGCTCAGCTCGGGCTGGGAATTGAACCGCTGTTGCTCAGAGCTCGAACTCTTGAGCAAGCTCTTAACCAACTGAGCCCCTTGGGCTGCCCCCTGATTTTTAACATGGTAACAATGTGTCTAGCCGCTGGGGAGGAACTGAAACAATTCAAGCTAGTCATTCAAGCTAGTTGTCTTTGCCAGATGCTTGGGTAAACTCCCCCCAGCTTCTCAGTTCTGGCCATTGAGATAGAAAGTCTGCTAGGCTCTACTGAGAATTATTTTATTTCATAATAAAAAGAGACAAAGGAAGAGAGTCCCTCCTTCCTGCTTGGATGCGGACCTGGTTATTTGGTGAAGCAGGAACCATTTTTTGTCCAAGGAGAGGCCAAGAGAATGAGAAACAACAACTCAGACCCCTATCATTCAAGGACCCCTGGAACCTAATAGTTTCAAGGATGTTTTATAAATATTAACTGTCTCTGTAGTGCCTTCTCCCCAGTCAGGGAAGGAGGTGCCCTGCTTCACGTCTTTCCAGTTTAACTGAAGGGGGTTTGCCTTGTGAACAGCTAAAAGTCAGTGTAACTGAAATATGGCAGTTCATCTCAGGTCATTTCTTAGGATACTTGCTCCTGAGAGCAGGTTGCTCTCTAAACCAAGGTTTTGGGATAATGGTTACACACATGATTTCTGTCTTCCAGTTCACGCAGTGAAGACACATATCATTCATTTGTTCATTCAGAAAGTGAACATTGATTCAGGATCTTGTTAAGTCCCAGGTACCACTATGTGCTGGGTACTAAAGACACAAGCTAGGATCCCTGCCCTTCTGGAGACAGATGTGAAACAAGCATTCCACCAGAAAGTAGTGACAGTTGAGCGCTGCCAAGGGCTCCCTGAGAGTGAGTAATTGGGAGATGGGGGTGTGGGTGGCAGCAGTGGTCAAAGGAAGCTTCCCCATGGGAGGAACAAGTAAACTAGTCACCATCTATTCCTTCAGGATTATTAAGGATCCTGCCATCAGGAAGTGAACAGTAGGGGTGGAGAGGAGGAGACACCAAGAAACACAGGCAGTAGCAATGATGGGACTTGGCAGTTGATCTATGTGGAAGTGAGAACTTGGAGTCAAAGATGAGTCAGGTTGCTGGGCTACTGGACGGGTGGAGGCACATCCATCCTTGTGGTCAATTGTAACTGTGGACCCCATCCTCTACCCCTTTCTGCATCCCAGCCCTCTCACCATGTCGTTAGCTCCTTCCGCCCTCCCCTTGAATTTGAGCTGCCATTGTAACAAACAGAATGCCAACAGAAGTGATAGGTTACACCTCATATCGTAGCCTAGGTCTCAAGAGGCCTTTTCCACTTCCAGTCACTCTCTTGGAACCCTTCTCAGCCACCAGGAGAACAAGCCTTGGCCAGCCTGCTGGATGAAGAGAGACATGTGACTCAGTCACTGTCCCTCTCCCATCACAGCCACCTGCCAGCCCCTTAGCCCCTGCCAGCTCTCTGCAGATGCATGACAGAGACGCTGAGCCTGGCCTAGAGTAGGATAACCCCCACTGTCCTTCAGACTTGAGAGCAACAGTGAGAAATCACTGTTTTAAGCCAATTGGTTCTATGCAGTTTGTCATGCAGCAAAAGCAACTGATTCAACCAGGATAGAGGAAGGAGTGAGTTAAGGGTGGAGCTGTCTAACACGCCCGCCATTGGACAGGAGGTTGGAACGCAGGAGGCCAGAAGCATGAAATTCTAACCTGCAAGGATAACATCCCACAGTCTGCCTTGCCATAGCTGGCCTCCAAACCCAGAGCAGGCCATATTTCTCTTTGTGTCCTCTTCCCCCCCACTTCCCCACCCCTACCCTAAACCACTTCAGGGCTGGAAGTCAGGACTTGACCAGTGAAACACATGCAGGGCTCTGGTGCACAGGTCAGTATCAGCGACGGAGATTGAGTCCAGAGCCACAGCTCCCAGCCGATGGAATGCTTATTGTGTCCACTAATGAGTCAACTCAACCTGCGGCAGCTGTGCTGCAAACAGCTACTGCCGGGGGCCACCACAGATCTGGCGACAGGTCACGGCTACTGCAGTCCCCTTACACTGACTGATACCATCTCCAGGCTCTTGGGTCCTCCCTCCCTAGACCCTCCCTCCCTCCCTCTTCCCCTATTAATGTCACCCACTCTTTTTGGAAATATAAAGGGCAACGTTCCACAGGAATTCTTGCTCCCATTGTTGCAGAAACATCCAACTCATTGCACTTTTTCCTTTCTTTCGTTCCCCAGCTCCTAACTCTGATCTCAGGTTCACCCACTAGTCTAGTGACCCAGGGTCGCCTCTGCGGGTGGAGGGGGACATCGGGGCTCTGCAGGCACAGCTCAGCGAAAGGCCACCCCTGCGCTCTTGGGACGGAGGTGTTATTTCCAGAGTCCGGGGCCCTGGAGCCACGCAGATCCCCTGGCAGGGCGTGTCAGGTGGCGAGGTGGTGCGCGCGCCCGCCCGCCCGCGGTGACTGTCCCCCGCTTTCCTGCTCCCGCTACCGCCCCGGCTCGCCGCTGGTGGGAGGGCGGGGAAGAGGAGGAGCCAGAGGCAGCTGCCACCGCCCACCCCGCACGCGAGGAGCCCTTTAAAAGCCGCCAGCGGCGACATTTCAGCAGTCCGCCGCGGTCCCTGCGCCGTGTTCCTGCGCTCCTAGCTCTCTAGCCCCTCCCGCTCGGCCGAGGCCGGGGTCGGTAGGCTTGCACTCTCTGCAGCTGGACGCACTCCATGCGGCCGCCCAGCATGTCCGGGCACTTTCTGCTCGCGCCTATCCCCGAGTCCTCCTCCGACTACCTCCTTCCCAGGGACATCAAACTGGCCGTACTGGGCGCCAGCCGCGTGGGCAAGAGTGGTGAGTGCCTAGGGGACCGCGCGGGGCGCCACCCACCCCAGGCCAGGCTGGAACCACTGGAAACTGGGGAAGAGTCGAGCTCGCGGGGATGGGAGGAGGGCAGGGCCCCGGGAGGAACCCGGACACCACCACCCGCCTGGCTTCCCCGTCGCTTCCCGGAGCATCCACTCGTGGGCTGTCGCCGAGATTGGCACCTGTTGGAGAACGGGGCCGGTACGGCAGGTCGAGTACCTGCAGTCTTCCCCGCCACGAAAGGCGCGGGAGGCTATGACGGCCGCCCCCTGGGTTTTGCAGAGTGTGCAGCGCATCCCTCCCTCCTTGTTTCCGGGAGTGTCCGGGCTTGACGGTCTTGTCTGAGTCCTTCAGTTGATTTTCCTGTTTCCTTTTCAGCAATGATCGTGCGCTTCCTGACCAAGAGATTCATTGGCGATTATGAACCGAATACAGGTTAGAATCATTCCGTGCTCCCCGCTTTTGTGGCTGCATGCTCCGATTTCCTTTTTACTTATGAGACTGTAAGAATTTAAAAGCAGACTCTCCTTCATTCTCCAGGCAAGTTGTATTCACGGCTTGTTTCTGTCGAAGGAGACCAGCTCTCCTTGCAGATCCAGGACACTCCCGGGGGAATCCAGGTAAGGCCTGGCGAGGCCCCGGGGCAAAATGTCTAAACACGCCTGTTATGCATTTTGACGGAGGAGTGGGCTGTCCCAAGGTCGAGCTACTCAGTGGAGGGCTAGGAACCCTCCAAAGGGGACCGGAGGCTGGATGGTTAGAGGCAGCTTCCTCCTGTGCACCACCTCGGAGAGAGGGAGAGACACTTAATTTCTTTTTGTAAAGCTGTTAAGGCATCATTACAGGGATGGGTCTCACCACTTCTTTCAGAGCTGGGCCATGGAACCCTTAAGACAGTTGGGGTGGGATGGAGAGGGTCTTCTCCAGCAAGAATTGCCAAAGCCCTTCTGTTACAAGCTCTTTCCTCAAGTTAATAATTGCAGTCAGACAACCCCTTGGCCACTGGTCAGGAATGTAACTTGACTAACAAGTTACTAATTGCTCTCCCTTCTAGGGAGGAAAAGGTTTTGTGGAAGAACAGAAAGCAGGAATTTGTTTCTGTAACATTCTCAAGAAGGACATGCTAAAAATATTTTTATGGGTTTTGGGAATAGATGTTTATCTTGGCTTCTTTTCAAAGTTTTGTTTATTCTGAGTTAGTTCCCTAAAAATTGGGACATTCTGACTTGAAAATTCTCATTGAAGTCATTCTTCCATCAGCCACTGTTTTTTTTTTTACCAACTACCTGCTAATAAGCAAGGAGGTTCAAAGTAATCCTTTGGTAACAGCTAATAGAACCACCCAAGCAGGGAGCTAGCCTGAGCATTGCTTTCTGTATCAAAAGGCTCCTTCTGTAAAAGCTGGGCAGAATCTGAAAACTATATTTAGTGATTTCTTGTTCAAAGGGTTTTCAAGGGCCACTCTGATGTTATTTTGAGTCCTCCCACTGAGGGTTTCCTTGATCCAGACTCCCTTTTGGTCTCTCTCAGGTCCAAGACAACACCCAGGTGGTCGACTGCCTGTCCAAATGTGTGCAGTGGGCAGAAGGCTTTCTGCTAGTCTACTCCATCACGGACTACGACAGCTACCTGTCCATCCGCCCCCTTTATCAGCACATCCGGAAGGTCCACCCTGACTCGAAGGTCCCTGTCATCATCGTGGGCAACAAGGGGGACCTTCTGCATGCCAGGCAGGTGCAGACGGATGACGGCATCCACTTAGCCAATGAGCTGGGCAGCCTGTTCCTTGAAATTTCTACCAGTGAAAACTACCAAGACGTCTGTGATGTGTTTCAGCATCTCTGCAAAGAAGTGAGCAAGCTGCACAGCCTCAGTGGGGAGAGGAGAAGGACCTCCATCATTTCTCGGCCGCGCTCTCCCAACATGCAAGACCTGAAGAGACGCTTCAAGCAGGCTCTGTCTCCCAAAGTCAAAGCCCCCTCTGCACTGGGGTAAATCCATCTCGGACAGACTGGCTTCTTTTTGGTATGCATTTGTGCAGCTAAGACTGGGGTCTCCCTTTTTAATCATACATTCGGAGTTTATTTTTATACAGACTATTGGTTTGTAAGTGTGTGTGTAAATTCGGTGATTATCTAGAAGTTGGATTTTTTTTTAATAAAAGATTTTTTTGTACTGTAACTGCTAGCCACTTTTCCATTAAAGGCAAAAAGGCAACATTGCGCCTTGTTTCTTAAATGTCTTTTTATAGAAATCATACTTGCACCAGAGCCCAGAACTGCTCCATGTTTGCCCTTAGTCTGAACTCTGATTGGTGTCCTCAGGTCGGGAGGGGTTTAAGTAGAGGGAATCTGTTGTGGGAGAAAAGAAAGTATGTGGAGGAGGAAAGAGATCTGAGTAACTGCAGGATGTCTTTAATTAGAGCTCTTTGCCACAGGCATGAAATTGACATCATGTGATTTTCAAAGGAAAGGGTTCATTGTGCACTGACGCTAAAAATTACAAACATGAAAAACATTATTCTTTTTTGGTGCAAATGAAAGTTTATCCTCTCCACTCTTATTAAAAGAAACAAAAAACCTTTTTCCTGTACTCGTTATGTCAGTAAGTGCACTCTACCATGCTGCAGTTGCCTGAAAATTCTCATTTCCTCTGCCTCCCTGACTCTCACATTCCGTAGCGTATCTGATCTGTCAGTTCTCTCTGATTTTTCTCGAAAGCATCACTATGCCTTAATTCAGGCCTTTGCAGCTCTTGCCTAGACTGGCAAGCAAGTGTCTAGGCCAGACTGGTTTCTTGGCTTCTGGAATGACACCTCTAACTCTTTCTTCATACCAGAACAACCTTACTAAAACCAACCCTAACCATTTTATTTCCATGACTGAAAAATCTCAGCTGGTTTCCCCTTATTTACTGAATAAAATATAAATTAGACATGGCATCAAGATTGTTCTTCACCACTTCTCCAGCCTCATCACCTTCTGCCAACACACACATACACACACACACACACACACACACACACA